GCTGCATTCTATTTTGCGCATGCTCACAGAAAGTGACCTCGTTTTCGCTGTTCTTATCAAAAACAATGCAGGAAAACGGGGGGGGGGGGGGGGGGGGGGGGGGGTCACCCAAACAGCAGCGCGGTGACACTGTTAGACTCTAGATCTATCTAGATCTATCTAGATCTAGATCTAGATTTAGATCAGATATTAAAAATTAGATGATCTAGATTATTTATATATCCCATGAAGTGTGGGTTTTGGCTCCACTGATGATTACTTCTGGTTCTAAATGACATGATTTCTCTTCACATTATAAATCTACACACAGCGAGCACCTAGCACACCTCTGATTGGCCCAAATATAGATGACGTATTTCCGCCATCTATTTTTGTTGTCTTCCAGGGTTTCCCCCAAGGAAGACTCTTGGGTTTCCCTCGCCATGACGCTCCAGTAACTGTTGACAAGATCTCGCCGTGTTTGTTTTATATTTTTTTGTATTAATTTTGTTATCTTTTACAAACAATTTCAGCAATTCTCGTACCATAAATTTACCTTCACCTCAAAGTTGTACACACACACGTACACAAGTGTAAACACACGCACACACAACACACAGAAGCGCACGCGCATGCACACACGTGCGCGCACTGAGCCCAAGCAGTCGGCGATGAAACCTAGATTTAGGGTAGAGGGTGCATATATATATTTCGACACCCTTTCCAGCAGGTCTGAGACTGCTGCTGTGTTCATTGGTCTGTGTAGTCAGATGGTGAAGAAACCTCTGTGAAACTGTTTGTTGTATGTTGTTGTTGTTAGCATCTGAGCGTTAACTCTTCTGCATGATGCCATTCGGTAATAGTTGCATGTTTATTCTAATTGTTTTCTTGAGGAGTAGAGGCAATTAGATGTGTGGGGTAGCTTGGGAAGAAAACATCCCCTTAAATCAGTTAGTTTTCTAGAGAAGAACAGATGATGTTCCACTGTCTCTGAGGGGTAGTCACATAGTGGGCAGGCAGCAGAGACTGCTTTACTCCAATTCGGTTGAGATGTTGGTTGAGGGGTACATGTTGTGTTCTAAGTTGGAAGATTATGGATTGATCTCCCCTCAACTCATTGACATCGCTTGGGGGGAAATGCGACACCCAAGGCGCGTAGGCTTGGGTCCAGGAGGTCGTAGGTTCAATCCTCAGCATTTCAGTTATTAGCATTTCTTTTAACTGCTTGACACACGGCATTAATTTCATTAAAGGAAAAGTAGTTGGTCTGTCGTTAGGCTAGTATACACTGACTGAGCGAGGCAAACATAGTGCCCTGTCCTTTCACCTGATTGTGCTGCATCATCAAATCTCCACAATATTAGTATCACTACAATTATCATCATTAACATCACCATCAGTGACAGCAGCATCAGTGACCTCAACATCAGTAACAGCTGCAACAACTGAATTAGTATAGTTTATTATCATGATCATCACCAGCACTGCCCTGCCATCTTCATCATCACCATCATGTCATCATCTTTATCACCACCGCTACCACCAGCATCATCGTTACTAGGCCTATCACCCGCATCATCTCCTCCGCCATAACTGTAGAGCCCAAGTTAGTGCTAGTTTAGTAAAATCATTGAACAAGACACAAGGCGTAAATCATCAAAATTTATTACTCTGGAATTCAGTGCAACACATGCTGCCCTCGCTGAATTCCTATCATTCGGCTACCAGGTGCAAAAGAACCCAATAAAAAGAACGATAAAAATCAACAACAAAATGAAACAAAACAAACAAACAAATTTGACTTCTCAAGTTCCTTAGACTCATCTGAGTCATCTACTGCTGCTGCTCCAGCATATATGGCGCTGCTGATGTTGCATTTATTCCTGCTGGTGCTGGTGCATAGACTGTTGTTGTTGCACTGTTGTTGTTGCTGCTGCTGTTTTTGCTGCTGCTGTTGTTGCTGCTGCTGTGGTTCTTGTTGTTGCTGCTGCATTAAATTTGTTTCCACTGCTGCGGTTGTTACTGTTGCTGCTCTTGTTGGTCTTGTTGCTTTTGCTGCTGCTGCTGCTGCTGCATCTGCTGCTGCTGTTGTTGCTCTTGCTGCTGCTGCTGCTGCTGCTGCTGCTGCATCTGCTGCTGCTGTTGTTGCTCTTGCTCCTGCTGTTGTTGCTGTTGCATCTGCTGTTGCTTTTGCTGCTGCTGTTGTTGCTGTTGCTGCTGCTGTTGTTGCTGTTGCTGCTGCTGCTGTTGTTACTGTTGCTGCTGCTGTTGCTGTTGCTGCTCTTGTTGGTCTTGTTGTTGCTGCTGCTGCTGTTTCCCCCCCCCCTTCTTTCTTTTGGTAGGCCTAGGTGCTTGACTCCTCGCATTCCGTCCCTCCTTGGCTTTTTGCTTTCTTTCTTGAGCCTGTTGTTCCTTTAACAGCCTTGTCTCTCTTTCCTGAACTTTAGTTGCAATGCAGACATCAATAGTTAGGAGCCTGTGTGAGGTCAGCTTCTGCTTTGACACTTTCTTCGGTTTGGATGAGGTGACCGGGATGTCAAATACATCGTTCAGCTGCTGTTGCCAATCTGGACTGAGAGCAATGTCAGGACGTGTTTCAGTTTCACAGATGATTTCATCTTCATCTTCCATGACATCGAGGCCAGTCATTAAAATTGCCTTCTGTAGCAGGTCTATTTCGGGTCAATCCTTTTCTTTTCGTGGGACTAAGCTGACTTCTGCCGTTGAAATGTCTGCTGCTGGCACGTCACAACAAAGATGTGGTGGCTCAGGGTCGATCAGTATATCCCTTCACTGATCCCACTCGAAGTCCAGGAAAAGGGTGGAGAGAAAATGTGCAGGGGGGACTGGTTCGGTTCCTGGGGGGTACTACTGGGATCCTGGTGAATTCTGCTTGGATCCTGGTGGATGCTGCTGGGATCCTGGTGAATTCTGCTTGGATCCTTGTGGATGCTGCTGGGGTCCTGGTGAATTCTGCTTGGATCCTGGTGGATGCTGCTGGGATCCTGGTGAATTCTGCTGGGATCCTGGTGGATGCTGCTGGGATCCTGGTGGATGCTACTGGGTTCAGCTTCACCATGATGGGTCTGTGCCTCTCCTTGGCCTACTGCACTGAAGTTGATTATGTGCTTGTCAAGAGGATGTATCCCAGTTGCCTCAAACGCTTTTCTGCAGAGGGTCTCTTGTCATTGCTGCATCCCAGGCTTTTTTAAGTAGATGAGGCCACGTCTATTTATTAATGTTGTTGTGTGCACCTGACATGAACTCCGTGCAGGCTTTGTTAAGCTATCTTCAGAGGTTTGAAGTCTACTTTGTCTAGTGGCTGCAGTTGGGCCGCTGTCTTCGGTGGCAGAGCCATTATATGGATGCCTTCATCCCTGGCTTTTTGTAACAACCCAACAACTTCCTGGCTGCTGTGGCTGTCTAGTACCAAGAGTTGTGGCCTGTTTGGACCACAGTTCTTGAGGAACGCATGCTCAAACCATTCCTGCAAAAGAGATTCGGCTGTGCTAAAATAAAATTCATTTTAAAATGGAAAGATAAGACATCAAGTAACACAGTATACAATCAATTGGGGGTTCTAGGAGCACAGCTTGGTTATTTGTAACCAGACAACAACGAGCAGTCCTGAGGTTACCGTTCTCCTTTAACTTGTTTAGATTATGAAAAAAGTAGGCTAAGAGATAAAAAAATCAATTCCATCTTTTTGGAGAACCAAAAGATCTATCCACTGTTCCTTCAAACATAATTGGCTAGCCTGTCAATCAGAAACAAAAGACCAAGGCTTCTGGTCAGTACCAAAGAAAGATACAGAAGGTCATTTTTACCACCGTCCATTTAACTCTTAGCCTAGGCTACCATCTTAATCATCTTGTAATATAATATGTATAAATAATACTTACTACGAGTGGGATACTTCTATTTGTCCCTCTTTTACTTTTATGATTCTAAATGGAAGCCTTCCATGAAAATAATTATTACGTTGAAAAATGAAGCTCTGCTATGAAACATATAAATATACTCTACAGTGATGTATGTAATGCTGGGATAATGACCTGCTGAAAAATAAAATTCTAAGCAGTGATACAGCCGTTCAATTTTTCCTTTTTTTTTTTTTTAAATTCAGAGGCTATGTTCCACTAGTAAAAGGCATTCATGAGGAAGAAAGAACGGCTCAATCATTATGACTCTGACAATAAACCATTGAAAAATACTGTTGTGTTAAAGTCGTCCTTAAATGTAGAGACTTCTGAACTTCCTTTTTTAAATTTGAAGAGCAATTTAGCTTTGTAATTTGTGTGCCATGTTACATTTCTTCCATTTAGAATCATAAAAGTAAAAGAGGGACAAAAACTATATCAGCTTGTTTCTAAACACTTTTTGTTTATCCTACACGCAGTGTTGCTGGCCAAGGTATTATAATGCCAAATGAGTCTGACTCTCTGGGAGGGGGGATGGGGGTCATGGTCGTGGAGACATATATATTATCTAACTGTGTGTAAAATCATTTCAACATGATGATCTAAAAGTATCCTCTTACACAATTTTGTACAGCTTCGATACTTAGGAACGCATTCTGTCATACATAAAATGTAGGTTGGAACGGGTAGTATATGTCCCAAATAGAACAATTAAAAGTTTGTAAGTTTGTAAGTTTGCAAGCTGTTTGTAAGTTTTGGAACAACTCAAACATAAACTGTTGGCTTGGCATAAAAATGTGCTGACAACAAAAAGCATGATGATTATGTGAATGGTTGGTGGGTTTTTTTTAGTGTCTTTACTTTCTACTTCTCTCTCATCATGTACCAGTTTTCAAATGAGTTTCTAGATGAAATGAGTCAGTTTGTTTTGGGGACCCGATGTACAGTCAAATCCTGTTATAAAATATCTCTTACCCTGGCAATGACTGCCCAACGTCAAGGAAAATAATTCTGCTATGACTAAATGTTGGACGAAATTCGAGTGAGTTATTTCCCTTCATATGTAGAGTTGCATGCAGGAGGAAGGGAGATCATCCCTGCTGCTGGGTGGGTGAGCTGCTGTGCTGCATGCAGTCTCTTTCTCTGGAGGCCAGTTTGCTGGCAGTGTTACATACATGGCAAATTTATTATAGTTTAGGGAGGACCATACAACTCAGTCAGATGGCAGATGATGATTTAAAGGTGTAAATAGAATGTTAATAATATCTAGATAAGCATTCATTTTCGTGAATTGTCAAAGCTGGGTGGTAAGCAGGGTTGGTAGTATAATGGTTTAGGAGGCTTTTTTGCCAAGGGGTGGGGGGGGTATTATGGGATTTGACTGTATATATTTGAACTCAGCAAAAGTATCTCTCTCTCTTGCCCTTTTTAACTCCCAGTGGAGCACAGGCCATCAACAGCATTACTCCAGCGAAGCCTGTCCTGAGCATCCTTTTCTATCTGTTTCCATGATGTCCCCGCTTTTTCAATTTCAGCTTGTACCGCTCGTCTCCATGTCATCTTTGGTCTTCCCTTCTTTCGTTTTCCTTGTGGGTTCCACGTTAAAGCCTGCCTGATAATGCTTGACGGGGGTCTCCTCAGGGTGTGTCCAATCCATTTCCATTTCTTCACCTGTATGTCTTCCTTTATTGGTCTTTGGCTTGTTCTCTCCCACAGTTCAGCATTACTGACTCGATCCAGCAAAAGTATATTTCATTTATATTGTGCTAATGTATCTTCCTCAGCAAAAAGGCGTTGGCTTGTCGGAGTCTTTGATAGATGCTGAGGGCTATCCCCGGTCGGACATCGACGTCTACTCGTGTCGACATGCCAGACATCAGATCTCATGTGGGTATCGGACTTGGGTTCTCAGTTGTTGAGTTTTGATTTTGAGTAATAATGATTTTGTTCTTTGCATGACATGCTTTGTCCCTTCTTAAACACAATGTAGATCATTTATAGCAGCCAGCTTTAAAGCTGTCTGTCACGGCCAACCCTAGCAGAAACATTGAGGCATCTCTAAAAAAAATTTAAATGGGAGTCTCCCTCGTGTCTTTAGCAGAGTGGATCCCTTATTTTATCCCCCTTCCCCCCCCCCCCCCCCCCCACCAATTCCGCACACGCGCGCACGCACACACACACACATACACACACACACACACACACACAAACTCCCTGTTGATGTCAGAGGTCTCCATGAACCCCCATGGAGCGAAGATCAGATTCTATTATTTTAGCAAAAAGTATTCTTGTTTTGACTTTCTGAAACAACCTACAAACTCCCCGGGATGGACTCATACACCTCTGGTGTTATGAAACGCATATAGAACATTTGAGTTAACTTGCTAGTGCAAGGTGAAGAGTCTAACCATTACATTGCTGATGCCATTTCACAAGGTCTTGAGAAGTATTTTACGAACTTGGATGCAGTTCTGTTTCTTTTATTATCTGGGTGAGGAGAGGATTGGACACATTTGTGTGTGCGCCTAGAGAAAGGTACCGAAAGCGGCCCCAGACTGTTTCGAGCTAAATCATTTTTTTGGCCCAATAAATGTGTTTCCATAAATAAATGATAGATCCAACATTTTTTTACAATGTGCTCAAAGGGTTTTCATTGATTAGACTTCTAAATGTTTCATTTTGAATTTATAATAAAAACAAATAATAAAAACTGCTTTTAAAAGGTGTTAAAATGTATTTTTGAAGCACATTTTCTCTTCCCTGCTATGTTTTACCATTGAATTCCATGCATGATATCAATGTCAACTGAAAGCCAAATTGGAAATGAATTTTCCATGAATAAATACATTTTAAAAATTGTTTTTTAAAGTTTGTATGTGTTCTCACGTTTGTTAAACTTTAAAGTTCATTTTCTCAAAATTATATTTCTATACCCTACCTCACAAAATGTGCAACATCTCAAAAACTACTTGAGATATCTAAGAAATTAAAAAGACACCTGTGTTCAGCATTGAATTTCCTGTAAGTTATAACCTTTAACTCAAAATGTTCAATATCCAACTTTTAGTACCTTTCTTCAGGCACACACACATTTGACAAGACTAGGTCTCTTTGCTCATTTATCACTTATGACTATGACATTTTACCTGTAAGGAATGAAACTTGAAAACAAACTTTTGGCAGTGACTTTAAATTGTAGTGTATCATCAGTGACTTTAAGTTGTAGTGTATCATTTTACCATCATCTATCAAAATGCTTCCATCTTAACCATCTTGTATAAGTATACTTACGACCTTAGAGCATGCATCAAAATAACATTGAGTGTGTATCTAGCTTAGGATTACTATTGTTTATCAATATCGCTGTTTATTTATATTATGCATGTGATTGTAAGCCTACGTGTGTGCGCGTGTGTGTGTGCGCGAGCGCGCGTGTGTGTATATGTGTGTGTGTGTGTGTGTGTGTGTGTGTGTGTACATGTGGTGAAACACCAAACCAATGTGCCAGGATCTGGACAGTAAAGACGTATCTTATCTTATCTTATCTTATCTTATTCAATAATTTTAGACCTCTGAATTTGCATAAAGTGCCATGTTGTCAGTGTCACGAGCAATCCTTTATAATTTATTTTGGTACTCTGTACACCCAAGACAAAAAAAAAAAAGATTTTGTTGTGCTGTTCCTATTAGGAATTATGAAAAGCAAGAAAATTGTAAGCCTTGACAACAGCATTAAACTGCATTTTGGTGATGTTGACAGTTGCATCTTTGATAGAGCTTTGGGACGGTGTAAGAATAGAAAATTCTCAAAATTTGGACTTCATTGCATTGCTTGCAACAGTGACGATAGTGACTGTTTACTGTAATATTCCACCAAACATCATTTTGGAAAGAAACAAATGGTGGAGTTTTGCAGTGAGCAGTCGATGTGATAGACAGTAAGTAGACGGAGGCAGTGAATTCTTAAAATAACTGATGGTTTTGTTTTTGTTTTTGTTTTGTTTTTTTGTGGGTTTTTGGTTGTTTTTTATGGGGGGGGGGGTTGTTGACATTGGTGTGTTTATCATTGTTCTCTTGAAGTAGGGACTTTGCAGATTGTTGGTGGGTGTCACTATTTTTTTCTCCCTTTGTCTTTTTCCATTATATATATATGTTTGATTTGAAGCATGTGACCATGTTTGTGTATTTAGCGAGACAGACAAAAAGAGAATTAAAAGGATTTACATCTGTGCTCATATTTTGTTTACTGAATACTGAAATGAAAAAGTAAATTTTGGTCTTTATTTTATCATTTGCTTTGATGAATGTACTCAGCACAGAGACTTTTATTTTAGAATTCAGCCCTCAAATACTATTACTGCCTTTTAAAAGATTGAGCTTGTGTTTATGGGAATCACAGGCCTTCAAAACGATCATGTTGCACTGATGCAAGAAATTGAAGATGAGCTCCATGTGATCCACTCGGCTGCCCGTGCAACTAATAGTGTCTCAGATGTTGAAATGCCTGTTGCCAGTGGGGACGGCATGGACACCGAAAGAATTCCGTTCGCTGTCATTGATCGAGTGGACCCTGGCTCACCGGGTGCTCAAGGGGTGAGAAAATGTTGTGGTGATTGTGCTTTGTGGCTTCGCCACGATGCCTCACAATTGTAGTGCATGAATCGATTCTGGTTTTAGTTAGAGTTGTCTCAGTGGAAGTTCCCTGTTTTAAGTGAAGATAAAAAAATATTGGGACTTTGATGACGGTTGGGGGTGCCCTACTCTTTGTTTTCCTTTATTCAGTCTGTCCATCATGATTTTTCCCTGTTCTCAGTGGCCATTATCACGTTGCTGACTTTGCACTTATTCTATTGTTGCTTCGTTTTGGTTTTTTTTAAAATATTCCTTGAATTCATTTTTTTGATTTCTTAGACTTCTGACTTTGCACTTATTCTACTGTTACATTGTTTTTGGGTTTTGTAAAAAATTCCTGAGGCTTACTGTTCTTTATTTCTCAGGGTTTGGAGGTTGGCGACCAGCTGATTGAATTTGGATCTGTGATGGTGGAGAACTTTGTGAATCTGCAGACGGTTGGAGCTGTGCTTCAGCATTCCAAGAACGTACGTCACAGATTCCTTGTGTAGAATGATAACAGGTTGAAAGTGCAGAGGCGAACTGGTCTGTTGAGACAAGCTGTTCAGAGATGAGCTGTCGGGGCAAAGTTCAACAATGATAGCTACTTAGAACTGAAGTGTCTCCGGGAAGTATGAATACAATCAAATGTGCTCTAACGGCCACCTGTCCTAGTTAATCACCAGAACAAACAACCACTTCAGCTAGTAAAGGAAGGGAGGCTTCATGCGTACACATACCCTCCTGCACTTCGTGAGCAAAGTCAAGTCTATTTTTTGCAGTTTCTAGTTCTAATTGACTGTGAATTTGCTTTAAAAATGTTTTAATGACTCTTTGAAATTGTTTAATTGTCTTAAACTGCTTTTTTAAAGTTGCACTTTGCGTAGTGAGAGTGTTGTCGAAGGTTCTTGACTTTTGGTCAAATAGAAGAGATAAAATGGGGGATTTTATTTCCTTTTAGCGGTTTACCGTTATTTTCAGATTAACTGTGTTCAGTGTAAGAGGCCATACTAAGGAAATTTTGTGCTCTCCTGACTGCCATGGTTCTTTGTGGATTGGATTTTGACCGCTTGAGAATATCACATAGATAAAACAGGCAGACTTTCCAGCAGAATAATTTAATAAAAATCGTTGTCTTATACATGAGAATATACAATATGAATTTTAACTTCTTGGGAATATTGCATGGATAAGACAGGCAGTCTTTCCCGCGGAATAATTCAATAAAAATCGTTGTCTTATACGTGAGAACATACAATACTGTTCAATATTCATGGTCTTTGACATTCATGAAGTATGCCGTCTTGTATGAAGATTTACCTAATATTAATCAGCTCTGGTAGTTTCAGTCTTATAATTTATATATATTACATAATATATGTATGTACAGACGAATTTAGTTTATCTTAATTAAGGAATATAGAGATGACATCTCTTTAAAGCAAAAATGCATCACTTTTGGGCTTTCATGTTTTTCAGAAAGCTGTCAATGTCTTGGTTCTGAGGGATGGCCGCCAAGTCAAGGTCACAGTCACCCCGTCCACCTGGAGTGGTCCAGGACTTCTGGGGTAAGGACAATTTTTTTTTTTTTGCAACAACCGGAAATTACTAATTTACCCTTCTCCGGAGGCGGTTTTCCCAAAGCACCAAAACCCTCTTTTGGTAAAAAAAACCCAGAGAGTGACATATACGTCCCTAAATTGATCATTAAACCAAAACATTTACAGTATAATCCACTTATATCGGCAGCTGATGTATCGAAATTTTGACATATTGACATATTTTTCAATAAAGAAATCTTTCCTTCAATATCTTCATTAAACAATTCCTCTTATAATAATATAGACTTTTTTTTGGTCCATTCTGGTTTATCGATATGCTTCCTGGGTACCTGGCGAAGCCCACTAACATGAATGGAGGAAAGAGCCACACTAACGGTCAACGCATTAGTTCTTTATGAGTCCGCATACCCCCCAAGTAGCCTGTTCAACACACCAGGCTTTAGTAGGTTATGTAGGGCCTACACAGTGTAGTCTCCAACACTGCAGTGCCTCACAGATGTGAGCGTCTCGCATGCTAAGCATCACCTCCCGATCGCCCACTCCCAATCGCTCACTCCCCTTCCCCATCTCATTATCGCTGGCAAGTGCCACGGTCAGCGAGTCAGTGCCTCACCTTTCCATTTTCCCCTGCAAGCGGCCATATATAAACAGGCCTTACAAGGATGCTACAACAAAGTTTGCTCTGGTGTGTAGTGTGCACCTCATGTTGCTCGGTCTTTGTCTTTGGTACCGTAACTCCAACCCCCCATCCCCCCTGCCTCTTGTTGGTTTCACTGTGTAGTTGTGTAAGAATCGAGGGAAGCAACCAGCTTAAAAAAGTAATGTTGTCTTTTTCCACTGACCTCCCCTTGTTTTGTGCTCTTTGGCTTTATTTTTCATTTATCGACAATTTATGTATCGACGTCAAATCCTCTTCCCAGAGCATGTCGATATAAGCGGAATTATACTGTAAACGTCTTTTGATAGCTCGTCATCTAATGAGTGAACTATCTGGGAGAGAGACCTATTTAAAGCAATTGCGGAAAATTGATATAATGTCGAAGTCATCGTGAAGATTCTGATTGTGAGTGGCTTGCAGGAGAAAAGGAGTTAGGGATTTTTTTTTCTGTAACAACGGAAAATTATTGTGAACCTTGGTTGTTTTGTTGGGGTTTTTTTTTTTGGGGGGGGGGGTTCAATCTTGATATTGTCTGATCTTTTCTATTGTCGTAAAGGTGAGAATGGCTTGAGAAAAATTAGAATGAGATCTTTCTGCTTACAAGTTAGTTGTCTGTTTCAGTAAGTTTGGAAATGCACTGAACTAAAATTGTTGACAAATGCTCAAAAATCGTTACCGGTGATATCAACTCATACGTTTGCTGCGGAATGCGTTAACTGAGATCTGCTGCTCTTCAAAGTGACTCTTATCTTTGGAGCCGTGGGATTAAATTCAAAAACATGTCGCAAATTTTGCTTTAGAATGTGTGGGGAATTCTTTTTTTTTCTCCAATTAAATGTGTTTGTTTTTTGCTCCCAGATCAACACAATTTAGTTCGATTAGGAGGCGGGCTTTGGTCCTGACTGTCAAGGCAACCCAGGATGAGAGGGATAAAATATCTCAGCAGAATGAGAAAGAGCCAGATACTTGATAAGAATTCTCACAACCTTGGAATTGACCTCGGTCTTCTGTATGTGGCGGTGAAGAACCTAACAACTACACCATAGACTCTGGTGTGGATTCTTTTGTTGCAAGTTAAAGATAAGGGTGCTATCAACTCAAATATTTTACTCACACATCCCTGTAAAGGCCCATTCTATTTCATAACTGGTCTCTTGGTGCAGCCTCTGCCAAAAGTGATTTCACTTTTGTTTCTGATGTAGAAACCTGGTTCCCTTGTGCTAGTATTAATCATAATAATCATAATAATAATGATAATAATAATAATAATAATAATTTTTAAAATAATTGTAATAATAATGATAAAAGTAATTGCTTTTATGAAGCGCATATTCCCTCTCAACAGCAAACTCTATGCACCTTCCAAATTTCCGTCTCCTACCCCTGGAAGAGGAAGAGTTTTGCAATTTTTTCAGTAGCTGCCGCTGCCATTGCTACTATCCATATATTTCTACTCTGCCAAATGCCAAGTGTTTCTCTATGGGGTGTTTCTCTATGGGTAAGCAATCTAAGAGAAAGAGGATAAAGTATTTTTATTTTTTAAATGCCGCGGTCTAGCCTGAGCGAGCGAGGAATTGAACTGATTTTGTACTTTATACGCAAAAAAATTATAACATTATCTGAGTTTATCTTTGACAAACATGTTACATTTTTCCGTGACAAATTTTTTTGCTCATCATTATTTTTCTTACTGGAAACCCGGTTAGAAACCTCAGTGCCGTGCTACTGAGACCTTGAAGCTTTCTGTATGTCATGGTAGGTTAGGCGTTGTGTACTCTTCACTATTGTCTGTGGTGACAAATAAGAAGAAGAAGAAGGCAAAGACTGGTGTATGAGGTATTGGGGCCATGTGCTTCGCTGTGGCTCGTAGGAGACTCGAGTTCAGTTCGTGAGTGGGGAGAATTTTTATTGAGTATCTCAGTATCTCTTTCTGCTAGAATGTTGTATCCCTCTCTATTCAAATTTTCCCTGAAAAACAGGGCTGAAGCCTTCCTCCTGAATTGTGTCTGTTAGAGCCTATAAAAAAACTTCATCCCCCCCCCCAAAAAAAAAAAAAGAAGAAAAGTAAAGAAAATGTATATACTCCTCAGTTTCTTTCTGTTTCCCAAGTCTGTCTGCAATTTTTCAGAGTACGTTTAATAAAACCCACAAAATCAACGGCAGTAGCGACATAGCTATCCAGTTATCTCTGAACATTTGAGGACAGGTCTAATTAAGAGATTTACGGAGTTTTGTAGGGGGGTTATTCATTCTTTCTTTCTTTCTTTTATTTGTTTGAGACATCTTTCTCTGACTTGAAAGTAAAGTAAAAACGGCTCACTCACTGCTCGGTATCATTTACAGCAGGTCAACATCCCTATGTTACATGTATCATTTTTGCTTCCCTCTTCATGGAATGGCCCTTATCATTTCACTGTCTACAGTCTAGGCAAATCTCCTCTGTACGTTGTTTCCGCCCCACGAAGCCTTGGAACCTTTTTAAAGTAGTAATTAATAGGTTTTGTATCTGCCATACAGACACATTTTTATTTTTCAAATCTTACTTGGATTTTTTCTTTCTTTTTTTAGTAACCCAGAAAAGTTTCAATAGTGGGGCAGTTCTGTCCAGTCACCATTAAAAGTTCAAGGACGGAACTTTCCTGCATGTTGATGGGTTTCCAGAGAGGCGGTGACCATTTGCACTGGGAAATTTGCCAGGGGGTAAAAAGATTATATATTGGTGCTGTCAAACATTGTGACCGCAAAAAAAAAAAAATTAAATAAATAAAGTAGAAAATAAAAGACAGAATGACTAAGGTTTACAAGGCACTGTTGTTTATGTTAAGAAGAAAAAATTGTTGTAAATTATAATTCGAAGATTTCCTCAGAATTAATTTTGTTTTGGAAAATATTATTTTTCATTTAATTTTTGTGTAATGTAAAGTACAACTTTTTTAAAGATTGTGTTTGGCAGTGTTTTTTTACTTTAATAACTGATTTAGGAAAGTGCAGTGCAACTCTATCATATTATGCTTTTAAACTAAGTAAACAACCTTTTTTGTCCTTGTCCTTGTCCTTGTCCTGATTTTTTTTTCATTGGTGTGAGAGGTTTGTTTAGTGTATTATATGTACATGTATTTCATATTGTATAATGTTGTTAGACATTGCTGTCATGGAAATAATTACTTGAAAATTTAGACGAAACGCAGTTTAAACATAAAAAGATAATCAAAAACTGGAAACAAATTACGAAACAAGTAATTTTGCTGCTGGTGTCATGTTGCAATCGGAGTCCTTGAAGAAGGATGACAATAATGTCTGCCCCGTTTTATCAAGATGAATACATGTATGATGATATTGATTGTAGATGGGTTGGGTTTTTTTGTCCTTACTATGTTCCTGATGATACTCAAATGGAGAGTAACAAACACTTTTGGATAAAACCTTAAGATCCTTTTAAAAAAACCAAGTCTCCATACTTTGGAAGGGGAGGGTGGTTGGCGGGTGCTTCAGTGTGATTTGCTTCTTCTTTCCTATCAAAGATCCACCGTCTTTTTCTCCCCTCCTTCTTTTTTTGGGTTTGTTTCTCTCTTGTCACACCTCTAATCTTCGGCACTTATATGACCTTATTGTGTTGCAAGTGCCGTAAAACACTAAAACTAAAATGCTTTTGGGAAGGGGGGGGGTGTGTACAATACAACGAAGATGATGACAGAAATTATTTTTTAAATCCCTACTTTTGTCCATTGGGCTTTCAGGAATAACAACCAACTGTAAAAAACAATAACAACAACAACTTCAACAATAATGACAACAGCTTCAACAAAAACACCAACAACAAGAAGAAAAACAACAACTGCTTCAACAACAATAACAACAACTGCTTCAACAACAACAACAACAACAACAGCTTCAACAACAACAACAACAGCTTCAACAACAACAACAGCTTCAACAACAACAACAACAGCTTCAACAACAACAACAACAACAACTACAGCTTCAACAACAACAACAGCTTCAACAACAACAACAACAGCTTCAACAACAACAACAACAGCTTCAACAACAACAACAACAACAACAGCTTCAACAACAACAACAACAGCTTCAACAACAACAACAACAACAGCTTCAACAACAACAACATCAACAGCTTCAACAACAACAACAACAGCTTCAACAACAACAACAACAGCTTCAACAACAACAACAACAACAGCTTCAACAACAACAACAACATCAACAGCTTCAACAACAACAACAACAACAACAACAACAACAGCTTCAACAACAACAACAACAGCTTCAACAACAACAATGGCATAAACAGCTAAACCTTTTATCAAACTGCTCTTTAAAAAATGCT